AGAATTTTGATACTGCTTATAGCAGCTTCCAAGTATGCTCTTAAAAGCTTTCCAATCCTGTCTTTGAATTCTTGTCTGGTGTTCCTCGTCATTTTTCTTTCTTAACCATATCTACTCTGCTTTATACATCATTTGAATAGCTTTTTTAATGAAAGCTCTTAGTAGAGTTTTTAAATTTATCTTTTTCTATTCAGGAATATACTTTATACTATTGTTGCTGATATAATTTAGCTCCATACTGTATACTTCATGTATTTCTTCTTTTGCAAGTATGTCTGCTGTATCATTATAAGTATCTCCAGAATGATTTTTGATTTTTGTAAATATTAACTGAACTGATTTGCTTTTACAGACTTTCTTGATTGCATGCAGAATATTATTATAGTACATTATCAGACTAATATCAGACATTAAAAAAAAAAAAAAATAAAAAAAAAAAAATGTATAGGTAAAAATATAGTAAAGAATAATTGCTAAAGCATGAGTTTTGTGCTCATATTGTCAATTCAAAAAAAGTTGTATATATATGCAGAAAAAAAATTAAGCTGCACCAAAAATAGGAGGAAGATTATCTGATTAGACATGTTAAAAGTTCTGGTTGTAAAGCTAAAGAAGGCTAAAGATCAATTTATAATTTTTTTAAACCTGATATAGTTGTAAGTCAGATAGTGAAAGAGACGAGTAGGATTTAGACATTTATGACAATATGGACAATGATAATTTGTTACAACTAGATGAAATAGAAGAAGTTGAAATGAATAATAATATATTAGTATTAGCAATTCCTAAACTATTAAGCAATAAAATACAGTCTAAAAAACATTCAGTATGCCAAGGTCTTCAATCTGAGCAAATTTCAAATTATATTAAACATACTCCAGTATAGTTTGGTGATTTATGTCGTATAGAAGTTGTTGCATATGAAATGTTTTTAAAGTTATTCTTTCAAAAATTCAATAGAAAAAAGCTAAGTTAAGATTAAAAGCAAAAGTTAAATCGTGCTTTATATGCAGAGTCTATCTGGCAAATAGATCGAAATAGTAAGTTATGCAGATTACTACTATTTATTATTATTACATTAATTTAAAAAAGTATAATTATAAGGTCTAGTGATCTTAGTGTAGTAGTTAGGTTGTCAGACCGTCATGCAAGAGGTCTAGGGTTCAAATCCTACTATTGATGAATTTAAATAATTATTCAGATATTTGTACCTAACTTACAGTAAACTCTGTCTGTTTCTGGAGTAGTAACTCTGTAAATCTTATTGCACCAATATTATCCAAATATTGGAAGTGTGATGAGGTGTTTGGTAAGACATAACATTATACGAATAAATCTTAATAGAATCTATGGGCAAGGGATCTATATAGTAGAAATCCTGAGTTGGTGAAGTAGTACAGCCTTTGATGGTCACACTAGCTAATACTTGATCCAAAAAAAAAACTATCGTTAAAAGATACAGATCGAGTCAGGTACGCATAAATCTGGTCCACAGAGAGGATTAGTAACACCAACCTAGCTTAGTGGCTAACTGAATTAGAGGGATCTGTCTTGTGAAATATCTGAGATTATAGAATACAGAAAACTAGTGAAGAGCTACGATAGGAACTGAGGTTGTATGAACATCTACAAGAGTCTAAGCTAGGTGAATTCGTAAAATGAATACAGACTACTCTAGTAGGTATGCTTTGAGATTAACTAGCTTTGCGATATCTACAATATGTTAGGTACAATATATCCCGAGAAGACCTAATCCTTCTTTTAGTATTCAATCTTTAGGATCTAACCTTTTAGCTATAATTTCAATATATAGTTCATCATTATGTGATAACTATAAATCTGTAGTAATATAAACAGAACAAATATCTTGCAATATTTTGGTAAGTTGATCAGTTGATTGAGTGAATGCATTATTTATAATATGTCATACTTTATTATCACTAGGAAGTTTAAAACCAAGAACTACTACTTTCATAAATATTTTAAATGATTTATTTCATAAAAGATAGAATAGTTAACAATCATCAATCATTCAAGTTATCATAGCAGTTTCAATTTCTAGCTATCTTCTAGGAGAAATCTTTTTATAAGTAATTTTTATAAAAGCTTCAATATTTCTATCCTCGATCTAAATTTATTATTAATTTATTTATTATATAATAATTAAATATAGTTAAATTAAAGGTCTGGCGATCTTAGTATAGTGGTTAGGTTGCCAGACCACCATGCAAGAGGTCTGGGGTTCAAATCTCACTGTTGACGAATTTGAATTATTACTCAGACCTTTGTACCCAACTTACGGTAAACTCTGCTCATTTCTGAGGGTTACAACCCTGTAAATCATATTGCACCAATGTCAATTGGACATTGAAAGTATGATGCAATACTCGAGTTACATTACGCGAATAAATCTTGATAG